CCCTCGGCCCACCGGTCTAATTAATATGCATCTGGGCCCACCCGTATAATACAATATTTTATAATACCCTCAGCCCACCCGTCTAATTTAATATGTGTCTGGGCCCACCCGTGAATGTGATAACAAGTACCTACCCATCTATCTCATACACATCTACCTTAATACACCCATCTGCATAATATCCAGCTACCTCGGCCCACCCGTCTACCTAATATTCATTTACATCGGCCCACTCATCTACTCTATATATTCCCTGCATGGGCCCACCCGCCTCCATCGGGAATAATTTGCCTCCCGGCCCATCCGTCATAGTCGAGAATATTTTTATCATGGGCCCATGGTCCGCTGGCCCGTATCATACGGGATATTATGCACGTCCGTTCCCTCGTATTATATGGAGATAGGTCACTGTAGTATGTGGGTAGATTGAGTCCATCGAGTGTTCCAAAAGCGCCAGTCAACAATGGATGACGTGCTGTGACAAGATAATTTAATTCTTGAAAGTCTTCACCTGCAGGCCATTGGATGATGCCTTCGGGAATGCATTTGAGAGTACAAAGGAGTATCACAAGTGAGAAATTCAGATAGTGGGAGACTGTGGTTGGGATTAATGCAAAAATTTGCATCAGGCTGACTTCACACATGGTGGAATTGAGCCAATGAAGGATGAGGCCCAAAGCCCCAGCAGAGTCAAGTGAATGGCAATGAGTTTGAGGAACAGCAGTAGTTGGGATGTCATCACAGGGAATAGGTGTGGTGTCCCAAATGATTGCGAAGCCTGCTGAAAGGAGGTGATCAAATGCCAACACATTGACCCCCATTGTTGTGATGAAAGCTCGGTCATTACGAGCCAAGTACAAAGCTTGCCAAGGTGTATTGGCATGGGGGTTAGGAAGTAGATCACCTCGAATGAGGTATGTTCTTCTTGCTTGTTGGCGTGCAAGGTGTTCGTGTCGTGATTCTTCAGCTCCTGAAAAAATGACTGCACCAAGTACGGCTATCCTATGCCTCTGGAATTCATCTTCATCATCTATCTCATCCTCCACCAGTTCAAGTGTGTGATATAGTTGATAGAGATCAGCATCATCGTTGTCCATGTTTGAGTTTAATGTGTATGCAAATCTAGATACATTTGGCCTATGGTTTAGAACATGTTTCTAGATGTTGATGTACTGTGAGCCAAAGCTCCGACAAATAAGATTTGAAACAATATCTAGGATTCCAAATGCTGCGAGAAGTCATTCATTGCCACAATAGATTCAAAATCTGTTTCCATTGAAGTCTGCAGGTTTGAAACCTATTGAGTGATACATTTTTTCTATTAGAACATGTCTTGAATATCTGCTCATAGACAGCATCTCAAACATTGATCTTTATTAGTATTAGTCGAGTTGTCACCAGAGTCAAATCCTGTTTCTCTTCAACTGTAACTGTACAGGTTTGAAACCTAGCAATGACAATATTTTTATTTTTATTATATGAAATCACATCTTCACATTTCCGCATGAATGTATAGCAAGCAAACACTGATGATCTCAAGCTTGATTTACATTGCTGTTGGTTTTATGCATTCTTTTTTGCTAAAAAAAACTCACCAGAGGTGAATGTAAGTATTTTTGACACAGAGTTCAATATATGACCAAAGTCTTGATGCAAACTCAGAAGGATAAGTACAATAACAATATAATTCTTTCTAAAGGTCTCAACTTGGTTGAAGAAAAAAAATGCAGATTACACATCAAACTTTCAAGTTTGATCCTAATGACCTGGGGAATAAGGAAAAAATACAAATCTATCAAGGCTGAGATTGTGCCTTGAGAATTCACTTTTGAATGTGTTCATTGGAAGTGCATTCAACTAGTCTTAGCCAAGCAGTTGATACAACAGAATCTAAATCTGTCTGTGTGGGTTCAAAACCTGCTAAACATGAAATTATCAAGTGATCACTAGAGTCAAAATCTGTGTCTCTTGGACTATGCAGGTTTGAAACCTGTTAATGATACATTTTATCATGAATGGTTTTCTGAGAAACTCATTTTAAATGATCTTAGCCATATCATTGCCATGACTCTGGTCTGCACACTTTTTGAACTCTACACACTCTGAAGGTCTGTCTTTGTCAATCCTAAATCCCTATTAGCTGCTTCTTTTGAACTCATAGTTACTGCATCAAAATCAGCTAATATTTCTTCCTCTTTGAAACATGTTTTGAACATTAGCTCATCAATATTTTCTTAGTGTTATATTCCGTATTCTGGACCTATGTTCAACAATGTTCCCACACTTCATCCAGACCTCCAGACCCCTGTATCTCTAATGGCTCTCAACTACCTTCCTATCCAAGGCTCTTCTGTGCCTTGTGAGCATGTATTTTCAGATGCTGGACTCACAGACATCAAATGTTGTGCACATTTACTTCCAGAAAACTTTGGTGATATTCAAATTGTAAATAATAAGTATAAGAAAGAGAGGAGACATTGTGAAGCTGAGATGGAAGCCAAGGAAGCTGTGTGGAGACAATGTTGGCTTGATGATGCTGTGGATGGAGTACAGTTGGATGTGAAATAGCTCTAATACCTATTTTTTTTTCAATTTTTGGTAGTAAGAAAAGTTTGAACCAGTTCTCACCTAAACAGCACCGTATAAAACTAGTTCTTGACTGAACCATTGGCTAAGGTTTGAGTTCAATGGCCTTGAGATATCATAAACAGGTTTGGGTTCAGGTTCAGGCTGTCAGACCTTGAACCTGTTCCAAACTGCATTGCAGCAACACTAATTTGAAGGGCTTGGCTTCAGCTTGTTGTAGAGATACAACAATTTCTGGGCACTGCATGAAGTAAGTAACCAGTAATATAAAATGTGTTGTGGCCTTGCACAGCCTAGTCTGCTATACTTGCAAGACAAGTGTGTTCAACCCAAGGGGTTAGCTATTGGAATAAGTCTGTTTCAGGTTCAGGTTTAGCAGGTTATGGGGAATAGTGAAAGTGAACATTGGAAAAGCAAGTGGTATGTGGATTATTGATAATGACAGGTATTTTGGATAGAAAGAGCAGTAATATTTTGCAATATCAACTAAGAACTACGATTTATTGGGTTTGACCACAAAGTGTTGGGAAACAGCTTCCTCCTACTTGGATAATGAATATACTATGTGGAGTCCAATATATAAGTAAGTACATAGAATTCCAGAAACCTATAGGTGAAAGTAGTGGCCAAATATTTCGGTGTAGACTCATGCCTCTCATGGTGTGATATGGCACCTTTCACTAGGGAGTTCATTGCACAAACTTGTAGCACCACTCTGTGTGCTGTCCACAGCTATCCCTATATGAGGTGCTTTCCTGTGCTTCGCGATGTATATGCGCGCATGCTTTCCCACACTTGAGCGCCCTATAGCGCCAGCCATCCAGATCCATCCATCCACTGTCCACCAAGTTCTCTAGTGCATATATTTCTATTTCTCTCATTTGCATATTATTCCACCTTTATTTTTATCATGGACCCTTACTTACATATATCTTTACATATCTACTCGGTAGCGCTTCGGCTCCACATGACAGCGCTTAGGCATACAGTGGCTCAAAAAAGTGTCCCAATGTTTGTAGCTTTTCATGTAATTGCTATATCATGTGTCAAGCCGTGGGAATATGACTAAGCCATAGGGAGGTGTCGGAAAGGTCTGCTTCTCAGCTTTATTTCGGTTTCCTATACCGTGGGAAAATAATGACATTATGTGAAGATATGATCATTTTAATTTGATGACTCATTGGGACACTTTTTTGACTTTGAGTTTAACTAATGTAATCTCTATAATTCTAGTACTTTGTGTGACCTCCTTCTGCCCCAATCACTTCTGCCACTCTTCTAGACATATTCTCTATCAATTTTGGGTATTCCTCTTTGGTATTTTCATCATACTCTGTTGTAACACTGTCTCATAGTTGGAATAGCCCCTATGGTGAATCTTGATATGCTACAAGCAATTTCTTGAGTGATTCTCAGGGGTATTCAATATGGTTGATGTCTTGCATCTATGCTGAACATGATAGAATAGTAATATCATGGTCTTTAAGTTATTTGGTAGCCAATCTAGAAGGTTGCTCTATAAGACTTAAGATCTCTTAATCACTATATTCTAATCGGAAAGGCCACTGATGCTAAAAAGGTGACTAAATTGATTATTTCCATCATCTCTATGACTATCTCTACTCAAATAGTCAGACAGACTCTTAAGACAGCCCACTTTGAAGCTATAATCAAGAGAAACAGATTCTTCTGTCTCCAACCTATAAACAGAAAAGACAAGATGCTACTTTCAAGTACAAATATTGGACTGCTAATAGCTGAAAGAGGTTTATCTAGTTATATAAGGTTAAAATCAATAGGATGAGATCATATGGCAAGGAATTTGTATTAAAATTGATAGCACAACCATTAAGATAAAGAAAAGTTGAATAAACACTTAAGTTTCAAGACGAAAACTCGATGGTATAGAACTATATGAGATAAAATGGAGTAGGAATTTTCTATGAAGTAAAGGGGAGGATGAATATAGAGTAGTAAACACTCATTTGACAGGAGTGTCTGCTAAGAAGCATGCAGGAGTTATGAGTTAATGAAGAGAATACTGTTTTGTGATAAGACAATGACCCTAAGTATACCTCTAAATCAGCCACCAATAGCTTGCAGACCATGATATTACTATTCTATCATGTTCAGCATAGATGCAAGACATCAACCATATTGAATACCCCTGAGAATCACTCAAGAAATTGCTTGTAGCATATCAAGATTCACCATAGGGGCTATTCCAACTATGAGACAGTGTTACAACAGAGTATGATGAAAATACCAAAGAGGAATACCCAAAATTGATAGAGAATATGTCTAGAAGAGTGGCAGAAGTGATTGGGGCAGAAGGAGGTCACACAAAGTACTAGAATTATAGAGATTACATTAGTTAAACTCAAAGTCAAAAAAGTGTCCCAATGAGTCATCAAATTAAAATGATCATATCTTCACATAATGTCATTATTTTCCCATGGTATAGGAAACCGAAATAAAGCTGAGAAGCAGACCTTTCCGACACCTCCCTATGGCTTAGTCATATTCCCACGGCTTGACACATGATATAGCAATTACATGAAAAGCTACAAACATTGGGACACTTTTTTGAGCCACTGTATATAAGTGCCAGCAGTACATACCATGACCTACTGGCCAGCTACTTTTCACCTTACCATACTTCACCTCTCACTTTACCTACCACTTACTACCTAGAAAGTTGCAGTAGAAATCTATTCTTTGGCACATTGCATCTCACATCTCTTGTCTTACATTATATCATCACTTAAGCTTAGTCTCTCTCATTTCCGCATACCTGCGCACACTTTCCCGCGCTTCATGCATTCCCGCAGCTTCGTGCCTTGTACGCACCTGCACTTTCTCACGCTTTGCTTTAGCGCATACTTCTAGATCTTTGCTGCACTCACTTCCCCTTTAGGGTCAAATGCACTTGTTGTCACAAGTACAGTGGCTCAAAAAAGTGTCTCAATGTTTGTTGGTTTTCATGTAATTGCTTTCTTATGAGTCAGGGTGTGGGAATCTGACTATGCTTTAGGGAGGTGTCAGAAGGGTCCACATCCCAGCTATATTTATGTTCCCTATAGCGTGGGAGGCCGACACTACCGTGTGAAGATATGGACATTTTAATTTGATGACTCATTGAGACACTTTTTTGACTTTAAGTTTGACCAATACAATCTTTATAATTCTAGTACTTTGTGTTACCTCCCTTGGCTTTAATCACTGCTGCTATTCTTCTGGGCATACTTTCTATCAATCTCTGACATTCCTCTTTGGTAATTCTTTTCCACTCTACCACAACTCTCTCCCATAGTTCAAATAGCCCCTTTGGAGAATCTTGATAGGCAGCAAGTAGTCTTTTGAGTAATTCCCAGAGATGTTCAATAGGATTGAGGTCTGGAGACTGTGCTGGCCATGATAGAACATTGATATCATGGTCTTCAAACCATTTGGTGGCCAGTTTTGAGGTATGCTTGGGATCATTGTCCTGCTATAAAATGATGTCTTCTTCATCAACACCTGACTCCTGCATGCTTCTGAGCAGACACTCCTCTAGAATGGAGACATACTGCTCTGCATTCATCCTCCCCTCCACCTCACACAAAATCCCCACTCCATTCCATCCCATACAGCCCCATACCATTAAGTTTCCCCCTTCAAACTTTAGTGTGCCTTTCACCTCTCTTTCTCCTAGTGGTTCTCCTGCCTTTTTCCATACATATTCCTGACCATCTGACCCTAGTCTATTGATTTTGGTCTCATCTGACCAAATAACCCTCTTCCAGTCCTCAATAGTCCAGTGTTAATGCTTTAGAGCAAAGGCTAGTCTCTTCTTCCTATGAGCTGGTGAAAGAAGTGGTTTCTTCTTCTTGGTTACAGCTTTCAGGTTAGCTGCCTTGAGAGTATTTCTTACTGTTTGGGTGGAGACAGTGGAGGGGATGATGGAATTAATGAGTTTGGTGGCTTGAACAGCATTTGAAGCTTCTCCAGATAGAATAGAATAGACAATAGCTCTTTTGTCATGAGGGGTGAGCTTAGAGGGACGTCCCATATTGATATTTTCTTTGTTTGGAATAGACTTCTTGATGATTCTAGCAATAGTAGCCCTGCTAAGACCAGTTTTGGAAGTAATCTGTCTAGTAGATAGATCCGAGGAGGTAAGAACAAGGATATTATCCTTTTGAGCAGGAGAGATAGACTTCATGAGGATTATGAAGGATTTCATGGTTTAGCTTGTACTTATATAAATGTCAGATATTAAAATCAGACCATATAATTAATATGACACCATTTTTTGAAATATTTAGTAATGATATTTTGTCTAGGTGGTCTGATTTATCTAAAAAAAATTAAAGTCAAAAAAGTGTCTCAATGAGTCATCAAACCAAAATGTCTATATCTTCACATGGTAGTGTCGGCCTCCCACGCTATAGGGAACATAAATATAGCTGGGAGGTGGACCCTTCTGACACTTCCCTAAAGCATAGTCAGATTCCCACACCCTGACTCATAAGAAAGCAATTACATGAAAACCAACAAACATTGAGACACTTTTTTGAGCCACTGTATAGCAGACTAGGCAACGTGCGACCTTACAACATTTACAGATACAGTCAGGAGCCTCATTCGCACCTCGCTGTGTTGTAGTTTCTACATCAGGTCCAATGTACATGTAAATAAACATGAGGTGCTGTGGACTATGGGAAAACATGTAATAGCACTGGCTACAATGTGAGTAATGTGCAAAATAATTAATTATGCACCTAGTGGGGCTAGCAAGACAGGACAGGACATGGAGAGGACAAGTGCACAGGAAAATATTAGGTCCAATGTGGCTGAAATGTTAGGTCTGCTAGTCAAAGTATTGGGTTACATCA